GCTTGGATACTAATTGTTCTAGTTGTGATAATTTCATGCCAAGTAAAAATGTCCAGAGTCATATTTTATGTTCCTAAAGTAACAGAATGACTTTCAGTCTGGAAAAGAAAAAAAAAGACTTAATTTAGCATTTTTTTCAATTTTTCCAAAAATTTCCATTTTTTCCCGGAAATATTTTTTGGAAAAAAACTGGGGGGTTTTCCGAGCTTCAAAATTTCCAGAAATTTTACATCTCTACATTGGAGCCATAGAAGAGAAAGAGAGGGTGTCAGTCTTAACCTCCCGTTCCTGCCCTCAGCTAAATACCTGGCGGACCATCTCTACCTTTCAGCCTGGCCCTAGTCGAGGACAGCCAGTCCTCCCTAGGGCCGGGGATCACCAGGAAGTTGTTATCAGCCGGTCTCAGCATTCTTCTGGGGACATATTGGAGGAGACGGTCCTGAAGGTACGTGAGTCCCTCACCGCTCAAGGCCTTGAAAGTCAACACTAATACCTGGAACCTGACTCCGTACTCCACCAGTAAACAGTGTAGCTGGCGCAGCACAGGTTGTATGTTTCCTGTCCATGGTGCTCCCGCCCGGACTCGCAATGCCGCATTCTGCACAGGCATCTATGGAAGAGTGAGGATTTGAACTTGCATCCTTCTGGTCCTCGAATCATTATACCAGCTCTGGCTGTCTATAATGACTGCAGACAGACCCAATATGATTTTTAATATTCTATTAAACCTTCTGGGGTATTTTTTTTTTGAAGGAAAACATTACAAACTGTTTACTTACCCACCCTGTTTCCGAAAACAAAACACAAGGCCACTGTTGTAGGATAAATGAGTACGGACAACCTCAGACAGAGCAATGATGCCTTCTGTATAGAATAACTGTATAGAGAGCCAGTTTGGTGTAGTGGTTAGGAGTGCGGACTCTAATCTGGGAGAACCAGGTTTGATTCCCCTCTCCTCCACTTGCAGCTGCTGGTGTGACCTTGGGCCAGTTACAAGTTCTCTCAGAGCTGTTCTCTCAAGGGCAGTTCTCGAAAGAGCTCTCTCAGCCCCACCTACCTCACAGGGTGTCTGTTGTGGGGAGGGGAAGGGAGAGGATATTGTAAGCTGCTCTGAGACTCCTTTGGGTAGTGAAGGGCGTGGGTATAAATCCAATAAGCTCAGGTAGTAATTCTTAATGTGAGAGAGGG